CAGCCCTAACTATATGCTTTAGCAAAAAGGAAAGTTTTAAGCCTAATCTTAAAAGTAGAGATAGTGTCTGTCTCCCGAATCCAAACTGGAAGCTCATCTGACTAAAAACAAACAAACAGGCAAAAATACATTTATCACAGTAAAAGATTCGTAACGCAGTCAGTGTAGGTTCATATTAAATAATTCCTCAGTGTCTGAGAGGCAGATGTTGGTATGAATTGAACTGAATTAAATTGGAATTGTGCCTGTGTCTTATACTAACTGCCGCTTTCTCTCTGTGCAGCCAGTGATGTACTGTTGGGCGATGGGTTGGTCCTGCTCAGCGCCGTCCTCTACGCCATATCCAACATGTGCCAGGAGCACACAGTGAAGAACTTGAGCAGAGTTGAATTCCTGGGCATGATGGGCCTGTTTGGGACTCTCATCAGCGGTGTACAACTGTAAGATATTGTGTTTTTCTGCACCACTGACACAGCAGGTAGTTTTGTTCTGTACTGTTGTTACAGAGTAATGACTATTGTTGAGCCACTATTAATGTGCTAATACACATTTAGTGTGTCAGATAATATACATCACAGCTCTCTGCCAGCCCACATTGTTAATAGATGAACCAGATGTGTCTTAAACCTGAATTCCTTTTAACAGCCAGCAGGGGGCGATAGCTGTGTTTCAAAATCCTTTGGGTCTTTCCTCAGATCTTAGACAAGCAAAGGACCTGACCTTCACAAACACTTTGATTATTTTTGGACTGGGTCGCTCATTTAAAACATTAAATCCATTTTATGAATTTAAGTCATTCCAAGAGTCAGAAATGAGAATTACCCACAGTTTGCTTATTTGCTAGCAACTTGTGTTTTAAAATTTTAATCTGGTTTCAGAACAATAAGAAGGCGAGAGCAAAAACACATAGATGAGACCATGATAGACACTATAGAAGATGTTAACAAGAATAGTTGGAAAATGGAAAATTTTGAGATTATGATTGTGATTTTAGCATCTTTTTTTCTTATACTTTCTATGAATTTCAGTGATATCTGTGTGAGAAGACCTTGCTTGTTGAGCTTTATTTAAATTTAGGTTGTGGGTATATGTATGAATATGGAGGATTTGAGGATGACCAAGGCTGGCACCAGTGTTAACGTGAATAAAACAAATTAATAAAACAAACAAAGAAACAGGAAAAATGTGGGTTTTTGGTGGTTTTAGTCAGTCGATAGGTGGTTGCTAGGTAACACAATGATGTCACAATATACTACACATACTGAAGATTTTGTGGATATATATTAAGTGTTTTGAAAGTTAAACAGAAATCAAAATCATCCTCTTCTTAATACATGAAGCTACAAACAGGTCATTTTAGGCCGCTGGTAAGTGGTTGCTAGGCAACATGATGATATGATATCTTACATATAAGGACCTTCAGGAGCCAGTTTTGGTTGCTCAACCTTTACTCATGTATAATGAGTTCAAATGCAAACAAATATTTTTTTAATGATGTAATACCTAATAGTACCTAATTGTGATGCAATACCCTTTATTAATGATGTTCCCTCATCATTTTAACTTGTTGCTTATTGTTGCAGAGTTGTGCTGGAAACGCGTGCAGTAGGAGAAATCAAGTGGGACGTTCACATCTGTGAGTTCACTTTCTGTACTGTCATATTAAACTGCAACATAATCACATTTATAGAAGCGTCTCTGATTTTAATATCACTCCACTGCCTCTCACTCAAATCTGTTTATTGTGTTCTGCAGCCATGCTGTTTGTAGTCTACACCTTGTGCATGTACGCTTTATACAGCTTCATGCCTGTAGTGGTGAAGATGACGAGCGCCACAGCAGTGAACCTCTCTCTGCTCACTGCTGACCTCTTCAGCCTCTTCTGTGGCCTCTTTCTCTTCATGTACAAGGTGAGTTTGTGATGTCTGTACGTATGCATGTCAGTCCTTAATGAGAGAAATGAGCGATAGCTCTGCCTTGTCTCGCAGCAGCAGGAAATGCAAATGATTTATTTGGTTAGTTAAAATATTTATTTTTTGCTGAACCAGTTGGTTTCTACTAGAGCATGAAAAACAAGATGACAGGCACATGACCAGTGAGAAATATTTAGAAAATCAAATAGGTATATTGTTCAGTAAAATAAATGCTAGGAGTGCATTTAAATAAGGGGGTAATGATTTCCTGTATCTGACCTTGTGGCAGTAAGTCTAAGGCTGACGTTAGAGAAAATGTTCAAGCAGCATGCCCAGTAAATGATGCAGAGGATGGTCAAGATCCCTGTATCATCCATTATGCATCAGCAAACCCTGTCATCCGCATAGCTCCTTAAGGATTCGATACGTTACACAGGGTAGTAGAAGTGTGATCAGCTGATGAAGATTTTCTGTAAGATTTATTCTAAAGTTGACTTGACAAGACTTGCAAAAAAGAAGGCATTTCAACTTGCATAAAAAACAATAAACAGCAAAAATTGACTTTTTCACATGATAATAGTCTGCCAGTCAACCCGGGGAGGGTTAATGGATATGTGAAGGTTGGCTAGGATTTGACAGAAGAAGAATTTTGTGTTCTTGTTACTGTTGCTTGGTTTTTAAATGGGTTTTTTTCTTTTGGAAAGTTTTGACCTCCTAGAACTGTTTTTAGTTCAGAACAATGCAGAAACGGTCTGAAGTCAAAACCCAACCACAAAGTACACAAGGTAGATCATAGTTGTTTAACTGTAGCAGGTGGATTACAACAGGAGAGGACGTACACCTGAAATACTACACTGCCCACATCAACTCCATTTGATTAATGACAGTGGAGGTATAAGCAAAAAAGGCCTCACACATGAACAAAATCCTCTAGTGTTAATCTGTGTCCCTGTTGTGTGTCTCAGTTTTCAGCCCTGTACATCGTCTCATTTGTCATCATCACCGTGGGTTTTATCATGTTCAACGCTGTCCCAACATACTCAGTTTTACCTGAAGAGCCTGCTGAAGCATCTGATGACCCCGAGGCTCAAAGCTCCTCAGACCAGCTGCTGCTGTCTGCAGACAATGACACTCAGAGAACCGAGACACTCACAGCCAACGATACACCATGACTGAAGAATGACATCTTTTTTTTCCCTACTGTAGGTCAGTGGATAAAGGCCAGTTTTACTCTTTTTACTTCAATATTGTTACAGAAGTTGAGCTTTTATGCACTAAGCCAGAGACTACCTGTGTGTGCTCAGTTCAAAATAGATGAAGAGAGATTGAGAGGTCAAAACACCGTGTGGCTCCACTCTCTTCTTGCCAAACTTCCTGTCTGCACCAGACTATCAGAATAAAAGTATACATTTTAAGCACAAGAAATCAGACTGCATCTAGGGTCCTACAGTTGTATTGCCATATTTTCATTAATGCTGTAGCATTTTTATAGAATATTGCCTGTTGCTTCCCTTGAAGTTGTCAGAGTTTTACAAAAAGGACCTATTGTGTCTATTTTCAGTTCCATATTTTTATTCTTTAGCTTGGTGTGATCCACAGTTCAGAATCATCCTTTTTTAAAATCTTATTGTGGGCGTTAGCACAATGCTGTATAAATGAAATTGGATTGAACTGAATAGCACAGCCCTTCACTTCATCCACTGTCTAAAACGAAGTGTTTAGGCTCCTCCCCATTTAAGCCAATTTTCTTCTGATTGGCTGCCCCTCAGAAACAAAGTTCTAACAACTGGTAGGCGGAGCTTCTGTATTCAGAGTCTTTGTAGTGTACCTGGGATGACCATGTTAGGAGTACCTCCTCTGATAAACAGAGCCTTAATTTAGACTTTAGTTATTTTTAATTTGAGCATATTAACAGAATATCATCACAGACAAAAGGAAAGCATAATAAGTCCCCTGTAAGATTTATTTTTGCGGTTTTCTCCTTTATTTAATAAACAGAGAAAAGGGGTTAAAGAGGGTGGGTCAGTTGACGTCAACTTTCACTCCCGCTGCTGTTTATTGTTTGATTATTGATTTTTGTTTGTTTTCTTTTTTGTTTTATAAAATGTCACCATATTTCATGTTTTGTTTTTGTTGTTTCTTCACCTCTACAGTCTACAGTTTTACATTCCTCTGAGTTACATGGCTGCATGCAGACAAATGACTTAGCTCATTTAGTTGTCTCCTCTGGTGCTGTTACAGTTTTTATACTCATGTCATTTGGCAATCTACAAACTGCATCATGGCTTTCTTGCACCCAGAGTTTTACTTTTTTACTATTAAAATATTTTTTGAAATTTTCTTTGTTCTTGTCTTTTCTCGGTTACTTTACTTTAAAATGATTTTACAGAAATGAAAACATGTAAGTCTATCTTAGTCCTGCATTAGACAAATGATGTGTGGATATTCTATCTCTTGATTATGCACTCACTGCCCTCTTGTTTAGGTATATTTGTTCCCATCTGCGGAAGTATCCAATCAGCCAAGCACATGACAGCAACTCAACCCATTTAGGGATGTAGACAGGGTCAGGACAACCAAGTTCAAACCCAGCATCAGAGTAGGGAAGAAGGGTGATTTAAGGGATGTTAAACACCACATGGTTGCTGGTCTCTCGTGGGCTGATCTGAGTATTTCAGGAAATGCTGATCTCCTGAGATTTGTTTTCCACACAACCAGCAAAAGGTTTACAGAGTCCAAAAAACAAATATTAAGTGAGTGGAACCTTAGTGGGAGAAAATGCCCCACTGATATCAGATATCTGCTTCCAGATGATAA